TCCGACCGAACTACAAACTTTCCAGTGATGTCTGTGAGAAAGATATATTCACTCGACAAGCTCGTGCATCTGCGCCACCGCGCTCAATCCACTCAGCGTGCTTTGTTTATCAGCTCACGCACATCAGCTATACAGGCGTTAATACTGAATGTTTTATATTCATTGCATACATATACTTCTTAGACATCTTTAATCTCTAATAACTCCATTCTGCTGTCTGTTGTCTGTGTTTCTTTGTCTGAATATGGCACTTATCACATGCTGTGTGGTATCGACGTCTGGTATCGGGGCATTTTAACGAGTACAAGTACAGGAGCTCAGTATCGGGCCCGATACCATAAAAACAGTGCATGTATTAAATATACAACACATATACATACATATATACTGTATATATATATATATATATATATATACACACACACACACTTGTAATAAAACGCATTTAAATTTCAAATCTAATTTAATTTATATTTTTCACTTATTTTATAATATAATTTCTTTATTACATTATAAATATACATTACATTACAATTACTTACAATAATATATATTATATACATATATATATATATGCTATAAATATTTGTTTATCAATTTATTTATCAATTTAAATGCACATAATCTAATCATGTTTAGTGTTATATAATGCAATAATGCTTTTATTGTTATTAGTGAAAGATAAAGTGTTACCAAACTCTCATATGTTAACTAAATGTAAGACTCTAGACTGTATACTGCACACGTATCTAAACGAGTCCAAACGAGTTCCTCAACATGTAAACATACCTAGATGTGCCCCTACAGAAGACAACACAGGGCACGGGTGTTAGTGGCGCAGTATGAGCGCTGTATTCAGATACAGCTGTGTGTGTGTCTGTGTGTGTGGACAGACCTTTGCAGTGTGCGTAGGGCATGTTCATCACGTAATCCTCTCCTCTGTTCAGAAACGACAGCCTGGCTTCACCATCCAAGATGGCCGACAGAGAGTTTCCTGAGAAACACGCCAACAAACTCGCAATCAGACACGCGTGTTGCACAAAATGACGTGATTTATCATTGTATCTTCTTACCGTAAAACTTGGACTTAGCCAGGATGCTGCCACTGAGACAAAAGCCATCCTTCCTGTTGCTGACGTAAAAGGCTGAAACCGGAGGATGATGGGAAACCTGGAGGAGGACAGACACGTTATGTTGGTGTGAAGCTCAGTAGAAACTGATCTGAATTAAAGTGGGTTTTGCTGCTTGACCTGTTCAGCGATGTAGAAGGTTTTGCTGTTGGTTTCGGTGTGGATCCACAAACAGCGAAATGTTTCTCCAATTATGGGGTTGTATGGTTTCTTCAAACCCTGTCAGTGACACAAATTATGAAAATATGACGGAAAACGACAGATTCCAGATGTCTGAAGGCCTGTTAGTGAATGTGTCTTTACCTTTGGCTTCTTGTAGAATCCAGAAATGTACCATTTGACCACTTTCTTCATACGGTTATAAGCGTTTTCCTCCACCGCCGCTCTGATGAGTTCAACAAAACACAATTACAGTAAAGTTACTGTAGTAAAATGACCTAAGATCTGATTTGATGCCTTTGTGTGTATTTGTACCAGGGTTATTATTGTTAACTAACACTAAAACCATAAAAAACATTTCTGTTTCTTAAAATAAAACAAAGTGAATTTTTTTTTCTCTAAAATTACTAAAACTAAATAAATTAAAACTAATAAATCTAAATTAATAAATATTATTTAGACATTAAAAAGACAAACAACAAAATCAATAAACCTTGAACTAAAATTAATGTGAAAACATGAATAAAATCCAATTCAAAATATTACTACAAATAAATACTACAAAAAACTATAATAGTATTTCAACAATACCAAAATAACATTTGTTTTGACATTTTATTTTGCCTTTACACTGAGAACTATGTGGACAAATTGTTTATTATTGCGAGTTAGTGAGTTTAAATTATTTTTATTATTGTTTATAATTATTATAAATGTAATTTATTTCATTTAATATTATTTAGTGTGATTTTACCATGTTTGGTCCACTTCATTTTTAATCCATAACTATGCTAAAATTATTTTAATATAAATTAAATATAAATAATTAAAATAAATGTACCAAATGTAAATAAATTAACCAATAATAATAATAATAATAATAAACCAAAAACAAATAAACTAAATATAAATGGTTTACAATAATAAACCAAAAATAAAAGTTAAAATATTTTTTAATAAAATCATTTTTCAACCATTTTATTATTTTGATCAATTATATAAAAATAATTATTTTTACATTTTCATTGTCATATTTTTCATTTTTAGTTTGTTTTAACAATTTTTTGTTCTTTTGTCATTTTTATTTTTTCATTTTAGAATTTATATTTAGCTCAATTTTGTTTTATTTCAGTTTTACTAAAACTAATACTTCAATTTATTTATTTTTTTTATTTCTAATTTTCGTTTTGTTTTCTATTGTAAGATTTTCATCTAAAATGTATGTATTTTTCAGCTTTATTCTCAATCATGATTTTGTATTAGTTTTCATTTGGTTATTTGTGAATATAAAGGCGCATCTGAATACTCTGAGCTGAGCGTCTGTGTGTTACTCTCTTACTCGGACAGGAAGTCGGCGTGATAGTAGTAATCGGACAGTTTGTCCAGGAAGGACCGTGGCTCCAGGATGAAGGTGGGCAGCACCACTTTGGACAGGTCCATGCCGGGCCGAACCTGCTTCAGGAGAGTCCAGATCAGAGACTTATTCTCCTCTGATACCGTCTCTGTCTGAGCCGCTTCACCAGCCTGAAACACACACACACACACACATGTTGTGTTTCCATGTTTTATGGGGACATTCCATAGGCCTAATGGTTTTTATACTGTACACACTGTATGTTCTCTATTGCCCTACATCAACCTTACACCTAAACCTACCCCTTACAGGAAACTTTCTGCATTTTTAGATTTTCAAAAAAATTAAAAAAAAAAAAAAAAAAAGATTTATATGCTTGTTTCCTCATGGGGACCTAAAAAATTTTCAGAATTGACTGGTATTACTATACTTGTGGGGACATTTGGTCCCCATAATGTGATAAATACCACGCACGCACACACACACGCACGCACGCACGCACGCACGCACAAACAAGTACACACACACACACACGCACACACACACACACACAGCTTAAATGAACAGATTGTGTCATATGCACCACAGACTTACTGTTCATCTCCCAGCTGTCTGCTGTAAAAATAGCTGTCTGAATATTGTGTTAGCATGTGTGTGTCAATAACACTCCACACCAGCCAAACGCATGTGAGGACCTCAATAATTCATGATGATAATGTCATAATTTACAGTGTTTTTAGATGAGGGACTGCGTCGCTCACGCACCTCTCCCAGCTCCTCGTGGCTCTGCTCGATGTACGTTGTTTCCCGCAGCGTCTCGTTGGGATCGAGGTCGATGTACGAGTCTTCCTGTCGCTCTGACGTGTCGCTGTCGCTCTCTTCACTTTTCTCCATCACCTCGTTTTCCCACTCCTCCTGCTCCTGCTCATTCTCACGGTCCGATTTATCTGAGTACAGGTCTGGATCCTTAAACTGGTCGCTGTCGTTAAACCTGATGGATCACACAAAGTCTCAGTTAGTATGCAAACACAGGACTTGCATTAATCGAAGACCAGTGATGATTTAACTACATCCGTTTCAGTCAATATGTGCGTACAGAGTGAAACACTCAGTTCATGTAATAAAACAAACTCAAATCTGATTTGATTACTAGATGTCTGCTTTTACACTCTTTGTTTAAAGTGATTATTCTTATTTTAAATAAATAAATAAAAATAAATAAATTATAATGTATTCATTTATTTAGTTACAGTGATTTTACCATGTTTGGTTAACTTCATTTTCAATTCTTAACTATTAATATAATTTTTTTTAAATATATTTAAATAAATCATTATAAATATAATTATTAATTATAAAATTAAAAATAAATATATAAATAGAAAATGTATACACACACACACACACACACACACACATATATATATATATATATATATATAATATTTATATAAATATTAAATTTCCATATAAATAAAAAAAAAAAATTTTTCTTTAAAACACTTGATTTTTTTATGACAATTCATAGTTTTGGAAGTACAAACTTTACTAAGGTTGATTTTTAATGAAATGATTTGTAACGCTATATGCTTTTTTTTTTAAACCACCTGTTTGCATTATTTCAACTTATTTTTAAAATCACATTTAAGACCTGAATTCCTGGTGAAAAACTACATTACCCATGATGCTGTACAGGAAATTCCACCAATCAGAGTCTAGGCATCCAAAAAACATTAATTTAAAGCCACCAGAACGTGTTGTAAAATATTCACTGTGCATACAAGCACTGTTTTTAAGATACACGGTTTTACCTGGAGTGGAATCCACATTTTCCCAAGCAGCAGAGCCCCCGAGAACATCATCAACCTCCTTCAGTTTGGGGTACTTTCTGTTATTTACCTGTCAAAATATCCAAGTTACTTCCACACACACCATATATATATATATATATATATATATATATATATATATATATATATATACACAGTATATATATATTAGTCGTTTTGTCCAATTTTCAAATAATTTGTTTGTTTGAACTCATAGCTGCTTGGTTTGATTCATGGTTGATAATGTTTATGAAGATGTTTTTTGTTTTTTTTTAAATCTCTATGGGAAAATAAACGGGAAAAAACACTTCCGGAATCAATTTTGCCATAAAAGTGGACGTTAATGCACTTTATTTTAAATGTGCATTTAAACAAAGTCATTTCTAATATTGGTCATGTGCCATAAAATACAAAGAACTATCGTCTTACCCAAGACTGAACTCTCACTTAAGATTTAAAGTGAAAGTCACTCCACCGCTGAACGTCCGACATTAAAAATGAATACGCGAATGTCACTTTTTATCAGCACTGAATAAAATATATTCATCTCGAGAGCCAGTAAGATAATGTGTGTGTCTCACTGAAAGCCCTGCATGTTGTGTGCCCTCAGCAGACTGTAGAAGTTGATGTGCGAGTGCTCTGCGGTCTGGGCCGGCTCCTCTTTGCCCTCTCGGATCATCGTTCGCTTCAGCAAACTCGAGCATTTCAGAGCCAGTTCAAGAGCGTCCATCCAACAGCGGCCTGCACACATGACAGGTTTATAAAGACTGATGCTGTAGTAACATACAGCGCTCCTTCTGTAAGTCTGTGTGTTTGTGTCTCACCGTCTGATTCTGAAGCTGCTCTGAAGATCAGGTGGCTGCTGGGTAACGGCTGAGTGATGGAGCCCACGGCTTCTCCTTTAGGACCCTGAAACACACATGAACATCATAGACACTTCATCCACACATAAAAAACGAATATAAGTAATATTAAAAATTTTATGAATATTAAAGAGCATTAAAGATAATTTTTTTTAGTATTTTATTTTAGTTATTATTATTGTTTTTATACCTTCCTTTTATTTTAAAATATATATTTATTTAATTGTATTTAATACACACAGTTTAATAGATGTTTTAATAAAGAAATTAAAACTTTTTTTCAGTGAGGATGAATTAAATTGATCAAAAGTGACACTAAAGACATTTATAATGTTCCAAAGATTCAATAAATAAATAAATAAATAAATGCTGTTCTTTTGAACCTTCGATTAAATTCTTTCTGAAGAATCCTGTAAATATTATTTTTTCAAAAAAATATTTACATTTTATTTTTTATTATAATAAAAACATTTAATATAAAATCATATTAAAAACATATAAAAACATTAAAAAAGTTTCAATAATAAAATACAAATATTAGAATATAATCATTTAAACTTTCTATTCAATTCTTTCTGAAGAATCCTGAAAAAAAAGACATTTACAAAAATATTATAATATAAAAATATATGAAACATTAATAAATATTAACATTTTATTTTTTATTATAATAAAAACATTTTAATATAAAATTATATGGAATATTAAAAACATATAAAACATTACAAATGTTTTCAATAATAAAATACTAATATTAAAATTTTTTTTTTTTTACTTTTTATTCAATTCTTTCTATAAAATCCTAAAAAATATTTAATGTTTTATATTTCTATTTTATTTTTTATATTATATTCAATATTAATTTTTAAATTTTTATCATGCATTAAATATACACATAATATATGTAGATTACTTCTTTTTTTATATATTTTTTTATTATGTATTTAACACTTTTTTTTTAAACTTATATATATATATATATATATAATTTTTTTTATTAGAACCCCAAAATAATTAGAACCCCTTTGAAAACCCCTTTTAATAATTAAATCATAATGCAAATCTAAAAATGTTAATTTTAATCTGAGTTTTCTCTGTACCTTGACGGCCCAGATGGACTGTTCGAGCGGATGGAAGAGCTTGAAGCAGAAGCCGTCCTTCTTGGAGGGTCTCTCGATGAGCTCACAGGCGTTGAGCAGGACGGTCCCGACCCACTGGCCGTTCTTATTGGTTTTATAGATGAGCAGGACTCCTGGCTTCAGCACACACCACAGCTTGGTCCAGCTCTTCAGCGTGCCTCGGATCTGAAAGAGAAAGAGCAACTCGTACAGGACTGGATGTTTCCTCATGTGGGCTGATCGAAAGCTAAGATCGATTTAACCTCCTTTCCTCCAGACCCTACAGCTCTTTTTTCACATATTATCATCAATGTGAGTATTACTGTGATTATTAGCATGAGTTGTTTACCCCTGCAGCGACAGAAAGACTGACCAGTGCTGTTCACTTTTTAATCATGCTTTCGTCTCTTTGGATTTACTACCAAAACTTAATGCATCGGTCAGCTCTGGATGTACTACAACAGATTTAATGATAAATGAGACAATTTTGAGACCATTTATGCAGAGATGTGCATAAATGATAAAACATGCATTAGTAAAACAAGATTTTGCACCATAAAAAAGTGTGTTCTGTAAGAATAAACACATTTTAATGGCAAACCTTGAGCCAGTCGGCCATGACGATGACAGACGGATCAGTGATGGTGCTGAGCAACTCTTTAGTGGCGCGTTTCTTCTCTTCTCTGTAGTTCTTCTTTTGCACCTGAACAGACATGCATGCATGCAAAATGTCACATTATCAGTCATTATCTTTAGTAATCAGAATGCATATATAAGAAATACACTGAAAGCATGCATTGATCAATTAATGAGTGTGGCTGTACCTTGAGTGACTCCTTCTTAGTAAGTTTGTTTCCAGACACCGACACGTCTTTATCTGAGCCATTATAGAGCTTGGTTTCTGACTGCAAAACCAACATAAGGGTTAGTAATTTACACAGCATCATGCACATTATGATATTATGAGCTGTGCCTTAGGTTGGGCTAAATTAATGTGGCATAATCCATACATATACATAAATTATTTATACATACACACACATGCGCACACAAATAAAATGAAAATATAAAAAATAAATAAATTCATTGATTAAAAATATGAAAATAGAAAAAGTTATTTTATATTGTACGAATATTGAACGGTGCATGTGTGTATATATAAATTAAACATTACCTGAAATAAAATAAAAGATTAAACATTATTAGCATTCAACTAAAACATTTCTCAATTTCTTTTTAGTTTTCATAAAACTGAATCAAAAATGAATAAAAAACAATGCAGACATTAAAAAAACACCAATATAAATAACGAAACAACAAAATTACTACAACTTTAAGTTAATTAAAAAATAAATAAAATGTACATACATACATACATCAGGGTTCTTAATGTTAAAACTGAAAATAAAATTAAAACCAGAAAAAAATTAATTTCTGTTACTTGAAATAAATAAACATTAACTTTTATTTCAGATATATACATATTAATAAAAAAATACATAAAAATATATAATAATAAAAATTAAATATTAAACATTATTTCAGCTACAATATTTCAGATATATTCAGCCACAAAATTTCTCTTTTTTTACTTTTAGTAAAAATGAATGAAAAAATAATAAAAATGATGCAGACATATTATATTATATACTGTATATATACAGTTAAAATACAGTCATAACTAACAAGAAGCATGTAAAGTCTGAACATTTTCTCAGTTCACCTTCCAGGTGGGTCTGAATTTTTAATTTCACCCCGCAGCTTTTCAAAGCCGATTAGGTGAGATATCTCGATGTGAACGTGGGTTAATTAGCCTTTTGAAAGCGCTCTGCCGCTTGTGTTTGACAGCTCTGTGATTTGGGATTTATTCTGGATGTCGTCTGCGTCTTCTAATTGTCTGTCTGGATGTAACGGCACGTCTACGACGTCCAAAACCCACCAGAGTGACTCACGCAAACCTGTGACGCAATGAGACGCAGTGACAGACAGACTGAGATTTAGCATTTATGTGCGGTCACGAATCCGGCTTTATTTGGCCCAGACTAGCCATATCAACGGTGCGATGCATTTGATCACATTAGTGAGTGTGGGATGCTAACTGGGTTATTTCTGAGGCACTGCTCATCAGCATTCGCCCCCCTGCTGTCCCTTCACCTCTGAGACGCTCTTGACTATGTATAATTAATAAACACAGGCTGATGACTGCTGGAGGACCTGGCGACCCGTATCGATCCGATTCCAGCCCCAGAGGATCATGGGTAGGGAGGATAAACAGGAGTGTGAGTTTACCTTGCTCTTGGATATGGAGAGTGAGGAGTCTTCTTTCAGAGGCAGGATTTCCTCTTTGCCACGATCAAAACCTGCAAAAACAAGACATTATGATTCAACTCCACTGGTTAGGCTGATATTTAGCCTCAACAGGTGTAAACAACACAAATCATCATGTTTATGATGTATGTGCATACATTGTTGTAATCAGTGTGTGCTAGATTATTAATGCACAACTGTGTGTTGTTTTGGTATCATCAATATACTATTCATAAAATAATACTAATATTTTGAATGAGTTTTTATTATATTTTTCATTTCTATTTTAGTTAAAGTATTAGTAATTTTGTTGTGCGGTTTTTTTTTGCCATGTTTTTTTATTTTTAATAAATATGTATATATGTCTCAAGGTTATTCTAGTTAACTAAAACTGAAACCAAAGTTAAATTTAATTTTTTTTTACTTGAAATAAAATAAACGTTTTTGAAACGTTTTGAAATTTCAGTTTTAGTTATCTGTAATAAACCTGATGCCCAGAAATAAAAAAAATTAACAAAAACATAACAATAATAATCATAATATAGTAATAAAGCATATTTTATTTTAACTAGTTGCCAGGGCAATATTTCTCATTTTAGTTTAATTTGAAGTACAAAAAATTACTAAAACTAAAAATTAAATAAAAACTGTAAACATATTAATATTAAGAAAAACTAAAATGACAAAATAACACAACAAAATTACTAAAACTTAAAGTAATTAAGTAACTTTAAAATGAAACTGTAAAATAAAATAAAAAACTCATTCAAAATATTAATAAAAACTGTAATAGTATCTCAATTATACTAAAATCTTTAGTATTAGTTTTCTTCCCTTTCTGTGAACAATTTATCACCAAATAAGGTTGAATATGTCATGTTATGTTATGATGCAATAAAAAGAAATATTAGAAACAAATATTAGTGATAATACATATACACACACAAATATACATGAAGGATTCTCATGCCATTCTCAACACCAGTGAAATTTCACAATTCTCGAAATCATCCACAAGTCTAATGATTCATGAGAGATTGGTTACACATCGCTAATATAAAACAAGTGTTAGGGCAGAAAATGCAATAAATAGTGGTTTATTTATTTAGCATTTAACACCATATCAGCACCAAAGGCCATAATCTTGGCAAATTTAACAATAACATTTCAAATAACAGTAATACTTCAATTAGTTATATACAATAATTGATATATATATATCAGTGGCGTTTTGTCCATATAAGCTGCGAATGCTCCGCATACCCAGGCCATTTGAGAGAATAAGTTCAAGGGATAATTCATATAAACATGATTATAAGTTGATCCCTTGTCATTTGAAATGTAACTTAAAGCTTAAAGAGTCAGGAATAAGTAAGTACAATGATTTATTTGTCAAACGGCAGTAATTTTCTTTAAATCTACCAGTTGCATTTGCTTCCAGGCGAGCAGATTCTCCACAGCTTTCTCGCCTCCGCTCTGTCACTGTGACTCGTCAGGATTGTAGCGCGTTCTCAGTGATTTTCTCGTCTGCGGCTGATTTCATGCGCGAGGTAAGCTGTCCGCAAAGTGCTCGCCCAAGCGGAAAAATGCGCTGTTGCTGTCAGAATTTGATTGCCGAGAATCACATTGTGTTTGATGCAAAACCAACTCGACTAAATCAAAAGAAAGAAAAAAAACACTGTAACTGTATATTTTTGTTTTCTCAAGCAAAGCAAATTTTAAAAGTCCACTGAAAACATATCTTCTTACATTTTTGGTCATAGACAACGTATGTTGAAGATATACGTTATTGTCAACGTTATTGCCTAAGCGGTAAATAAAAAATAAAGTTTATTAAAAAGTAGGCTATATAAATCTTTAATAATAACAAACATCATAATGTTCCCTTTGTTTTGCGTATGCTCGTGTCGCTTACAGTTAAAGTCCTTCTCGCTCTGTCACTGTGACTCGTCAGGATTGTAGCGCGTTCTCAGTGATTTTCTCGTCTGCGGCTGATTTCATGCGCGAGGTAAGCTGTCCGCAAAGTGCTCGCCCAAGCGGAAAAATGCGCTGTTGCTGTCAGAATTTGATTGCCGAGAATCACATTGTGTTTGATGCAAAACCAACTCGACTAAATCAAAAGAAAGAAAAAAAACACTGTAACTGTATATTTTTGTTTTCTCAAGCAAAGCAAATTTTAAAAGTCCACTGAAAACATATCTTCTTACATTTTTGGTCATAGACAACGTATGTTGAAGATATACGTTATTGTCAACGTTATTGCCTAAGCGGTAAATAAAAAATAAAGTTTATTAAAAAGTGGGCTATATAAATCTTTAATAATAACAAACATCATAATGTTCCCTATGTTTTGCGTATGCTCGTGTCGCTTACAGTTAAAGTCCTTCTCTGATATTATTATTGTTTGCAAGGTTGCAACGCTACTTTGCAATATTTTAAATATTTTTGGGGTATTTTGCATGGTCTGTTATTGGAGTAGTGTCACCCGGGTGGGAGTTTTAACTCCTATTCACTGGGAATACATTTTTTTTTAGCTCATGCAGAGAGACGTAGACCGGGGGAATCCCCCTCCATCTCCCCACCCTCTGATTATGAATCATAACGCAACTACGTGTAAACATTATTTGGCAGTTTTTACTTGGAAAACCAGCTATATTTTTGTGCTGTGCAAGAACGCTTATCCTCTGCTGTCTTCACGTGCTATCGGAAACTTCCTATTTCCCACTTAAGTCGTGAGCACTTCATGTGAGCGCAGCTGCAGCCTTAGGCCCACCCCAAATGCTCTCATTTGTTGAGACGCGTGATAACGCGACGACAATCACAGAATCTGTGATTATTTCAGTCCTGCGACCCTGAGAAAATATCTGTGTGACGGCTGTACCAACACATCTGAGTGGCGTGAGTCAGAGATTCACAGCAGCTGGAAGAAAACACACACACACACACACAAACAGGTTTGTTTTTCTGAAAAGTGGGGACATCCTATAGGCGTAATGGTTTTTATACTGTACAGACCGTATATTCTATTGCCCTACACCAACCCTACCCCTAAACCTACCCCTCACAGGAAACTTTGTGCTATTTCAGATTTCAATACACCCCATTCTGTGTGATTTATAAGCGTTTTGAAAAGTGGGGACATGGGGTAATGTCCTGAAAAGTCACCTTCTCCTTCTCCTTGTAATACCTATGTCATACCTTTGTCATTATACAAATGTATGTCCTCATTTGTCACAAAAACGTGCGCACTCACTCACACACACACACACTCACACAGACACTCACACACACACACACACACACACTACTGCAATACAAACTGCTGCTTAACCTGAAAATAACAGGTGTAAACAGCATGAATATAATATAATATATATATGCATTAATTGAGCTAGAACTGATGTGTTGTAGAGTTTTTGACTACTTAGTGCACAAGTGTGTGTGGCAATGTTATTTTAGTATACTATTGTATTTTTTCTTTCTATTTTAAATTAAGTTTTTATTTTTATTGTAATAACTTTAGTTACATTTTTAGTAATTTGGTTGTGTTTGATATTTCTTATTTATTGATTGATTGATTGATTTTTTTTTAAATATGTCTATATAGTTTTTATTAAGTTTTATGTCAGGTTTTAGTTGGTTGTGTTAAAATGTATTGCCATTTTACATAGCAGATTAAACATTAAATTAATACAATACAATAAAAAAACTAAACATTTTTAAAAATTAAATTTTAAATGTACTTATATTGTATAAGTTTTTCCGTGTTCATCTTACAAAATAAGTCCTTAAAAATTTTCCTTGGTAAAAATCGCAGCATTTTATGTCAGTTTTAGTAATATTGTACTTCAAATGAGACTAAACGAAAATGAGAAATGTTGCCTTGGCAACCAGCTGAAATATAACTAGTTTTATACTTTTTTCAGTTAGTTTATTTCAAGTATATGTGTTTTATGTGTTTTAATAACTCGCTGTGTTGTGATGGTTATCGGAGAACGGACGTGTCTCATATCTAAGGCCTTGAGGAAAGTATAACACTTCATCGTTAGCAAAAAACTAAAAGAGTTTCATTAGATAAGACCAAGGACGATCCGTCAATGTCACTCTGTCAAGACTAGTGAGTTTCTCAGACAAGTATAGCACAACTGTCACTTTATATAACATCTCTACTCGACAGACTCATTGTCTCAGTTTTATTTAGCTGGAGTGGAAGAAAAAAGTTAATAGAAATTATGATGAAGACCCCATAAAACAGCTTAATAAATGCAGTTTCCTATGTTGGTCTACTGACATTTGGACTTTTCTAGGATGGGCGGGATGAATCACAAACCTTTTTATAAAGTGCTATTTGTTATTTAAAGACATTCCCGGTCCAGAAAGCAGTTTTATTGGAAAAAACTGGGCATAAGCCCCTGCAGAATATGTAAAAACATCAATATTTTTGGTGTGTTTTCCTCTGAAGAGAAAGACTGCAACATTTTAAATGTGCATATGCTTTAAAAAAGTTTTTTTGAAGATGTAAATATATGTTTTATAATGAAATATTATTTAGGTCCTTTTACTTTAAAATTTCACAATTCAATGTGTTATTTGCTGTTCATTTGTGAAATTCACTAGCAATTTCTGAGTTAAAATTGCTTCAAAAAAATTTTTTTTTCAGTGTATCTGCTAAAAAGTTTATTTTATTATTTTTCAGACGTAGTTTATTGTATAGATGATCTCCAAAGCAACACCCACTGACAACTTAAGACATTTTAGCCCAGTTTAATAACAGCAGGCGACTCTTTCCTACTATATGAGTCACGTAAGAGGCTTTAATAAAAGGAAAATTTAGCTTTTTACTGACAGAATGGTACGGTTTTCAAGCATCTTCATCAAGTCTCAAGATTATAGCATTATAGTCTCACCTGAAGTTTTTGGATCAAGCGAACTGTGGATGTAAATGACAACCCATCAATCAGGTAAACAAGTCTATTGTTTCCCGTTTCTCCTCCGCAAACCGGGCCAAGCATTGTGTTCATCTTGGAAAAACAAGCCACTTCAAGAGCTCTTC